CTGGACACAGGTGAAATAGGATTATGAACAGGTATGATGTAGAAGCAGGCAGACAGTGGCTGAGCAGAGCCCATGTGAAAAATGGGATAGGAAGGCTGTAAAGGTTTTTTTATACTTTCCTTCCACCAGAAAAACAACAACAACAACAACAAAAGAAAAAAATAATGATGAACAGTAGAACAGATTACCTAAGAAAGAAGTGCAAAGAAAAGTGATTGACTTTAGAGAAGGAAAAAATAGTGTCTTTTGCTTTGGAAAAACCGTCAAGGGATGGCAACTGCCAGAAGAATAGACAGTATCAAATCTAATTAAGCAAAAAGGCAGAACAACAAAAGTGACTAAAGATGGCAGTTAAGCAGAGGTATTGAAGATGTGCAGTGCTTCAAGACACATAAAATCAACCTTTGAAAAGATGAAAAAGGCAAGGCTGCATGTCTGATAGGAATAAAGCAAGATGTCGAGGTGAGTGGGGGACGTGACTATTGCCAAAGTGCATAGTGATTTTTGTAACCTTTATTGTCATATAAATTGTCTCTCATGTACAAAATGTTCTAAAGAGAATGGCATTATTGTTTCTGCAAATTCATGGGTGTTACTCTGGAAAGGAATGCATACAGGGGAAGAAATCACAACATTAGTGAAGACAGCAGATATTAACAGAGAGAATAATAAGAAGGATAGAACCAACAGAATTCTGAGAAACAAACTTGAAATGGTGAGGATAATATGTATATTAACCTAGAGAATAAAACACTGTGTTAGCTGCCACATGTATGGTTTATTAAATACTGACGTGCTAACGTATTTAGGAGAATGAGAGAGAAACAGCTCTCAGAACTGTTGCTGGAGCCTATGACGAATAGAAAATGGTTCAATAAAATAGGAATGAAATGAGAGGCATAAAAGAAGAAAGTGAGAATGCTTCATGTTCCTGGAACATCCTCCCAAATGACAAGCTAAGCAAGAAAATGGCAGACAGAAGATAAATTGATTTAGGCAAGACCTATAAAGGAACTTTGGAGATTTTATAGTACAAATCTTGCCAGAAGGAATTAAGAAGAGCTGCATGGAGGATATCTTCTTCTGAATGAAACTTCTTTTTCGTATGAGCTGATCAGTCATTTTAGGAGACCATCAGAGTGAGGATGGAGTGCTCAAACTAACACAACAAATACTCACTTTCCTTTTTTCTTGATGGCTATTTATTACCTTCTACATTCCTCTGAAAATGACAAAACCATTGGTTGTCAACAATACGTACTTAATATGAACAAGGGGAATTCATACAGAACATAAGCATTGACAGAATTTTAGAAATTCACTGGCTCCATAATTGTATAGTACTAACTGTGCAACTGTTTTAATTTGAAGACTTATTAACTTAAAAATTAATTATGATTATTTTTGTTCACTTTCTAAGCTATGGAGAAATAGGGACAATGACAGTAATATACAGATCTAAGTTTGACATCAAATATATTATACAACTGTAACAAGTATTTAATTGTAAAAATATACTAACTTTAAATTTATGATTTTATCTCATTTGAAAGGAGACAATTCAAAGTGGTATATGAGTTTTTTCAAGGGTTACAGGACATATTTTACATATGGAGTGATATACAGAATGATTCCTGACAAAGACTTTGGACTACAAAACCAGCTCCAAAGCTCTTCAGACAAAATACACACAAATATAAGAGATAAATGGCAGTGCTACTCACAACTCTGGTACAGCTGAACCTACTGAAGTTTCTAGATGCTTTAAAATTTACTTTGCTCAAAGGTCACAAATACTTGAAAATATGCTAGGAATTTTTACAGTATTATACATTATGGTTACAGTATTGATACTAAGCAGGGTTATATTGTTTGTTCTTTCACCTCATCTTCATATATTTTCATTGCCATCTTGTTGTGAAACAGATTTCTGAACAGTAATTGATTAACTCCCCTTTTCAAGTTGTTCTCCCCTTTACAAATATTAACGATAAATTTTACCTGAGGATTTCAGCTTTAATGTAATTGAAAACTACTTTACTATGAAGTCAGGTACTGAGAAACTTTATGTTCACTACTTACATGACTAAAGGAGAGATTTTTAAATTATATTTTTCCTGGATAGAAATGGTTACAAAGCATTAAATTGTTAAGCTATATCAGGATTCATTCTTCAAGCACCTTAATTAATGATTTGTGCCATGGAAAACTTCATTCTTGCCTCAGTGACCTTCTTCACAGAAGAATAATTTCAAATGGGGGATGCTTTTCTTCAGGTAACAATTTGGGCAGTGTGGGTCTGTATGCTAACTCTTGTAACATTCCTGTTTTTCATGGTTTGGGTCATTATACATTTTTGCCAGGCTATAATAATTTTATAAACAATTTTATATACTGTAGAGAAGTACAGAGGAGATATTTTTCTGAAGAGCTATTATCCTAACAGCCTCTTTCTAATTAGCTTTTAAATTTTTTGCTTTCTTTAAGCTTTCTCAGGAAAAAAAAAAAACAACAAAAAAACATTATTATATAACCAGCATGTTCACTCAGTAATCTATTTTTCCAATAGGCAGCAAAGCATGAACATATCTTAGTTCTTCACTAAGATTAAAGGCCAGCTGAGGTTCCAGGTATTATTACTTAATGAAAGGCAGTTCAATATCAAAATCTCAGAATCCTTTCTCTGTAAGCTTCAAAACTGTTTACATTTATCGATACTTTTCAACTTTACAGAAACTTAATGGAACTTCTATTTCAAACCCTTTCGAAAACACCTTCCAGGATCAGTAAGTTAATGGGATTTAACTCAGCATATTAATTTGTCAATACAATTACAATCTTCTATTATTAAATAATCCAAGCAGGTAGAGGAAGAACACAGCTTGCTTGATAGCAAAGAAGTTGAATTCTCTGAGTAAGTCTTCAACTAATTCACTCAATGACGTTAGATGGTTACTGAACTGGCAGTTTTAAAAGCCAGCAGCCAAAGAGAGGTACTAAAAACACTTCAAGGAAAAGATTTACATGGCCTGTAGGAGGCTCTGAATCAGCCCACAAATGTCTGATTAGTAAAATGTGCTGAATACTTGCACTAACTGCTGAAGTCAGCAACAGATGGAGGAGTTGGCATCTGTGGACGTAAGGCCACTCCTTCACATATCCAACTTTAGACATGTAAGAATGAGCATTTGAGCCTAAGCTTTGCATTCCAGCTTTTCAAACAGTAAAATAAGTCTTAAGGGAACCCTGTTCTCACATGTTACAGAGAAAATGCTATTTCATTATTCCTACATCAGCTGTGTCACAGGCAGCCCCACGTACAAACAAACGCCAGATAGGCCCTTTAAGTCTGCTCCCCTGGCAGTCCCAGCTCTCCCTTCCTGCCTCACTTCAGCCTCCCCACCCAGCTTCCAGCACTGGGCTCCCCTCCTGAGCAGCAATTTATTACCAAACCAGCTGCTTCACACCTACCCAAGATCCCAGCCTCCTTGCCCAGTTATCTTAAACTATGTTGCTGCTCAGTCTTCTCCCCAAGTATCTCCTAGCCTCCCAACAGCCAAATTTTGTGTCCCATTTCATACCTGGGAAGAGGAGAGACAAGCCACTGAGAAAAAGATTATCAGGATTTTCACTGTAAGAAAACAATCTACTTAATTTTTGATAAGAGCAGGACTAAATAGGGTGAAATCTTCCTTCTCTCTCATACACACGTGATAAATACACAAAAGTCTTGAAAAAATAATGTTTTGCCCAGCGAATTCAAATGATACTGGAAATCTCATGTCTGAAAATAATATTAATATCTGCAACCATTAATCAAGGAAATTTGAGATTGGAAAATGGAAAAGGAGAGTTGTGCCTGGAAGTTTAGAAAGTGTTTGAACTATGTTCAAAAAGAGAAATGTTAAGTAAGATGCACTGCCAGTTCCGCCTGTGAAGTAGAGAAACATATGCAAAATCATCACAGAATAACAGGTAACTCCAGTGCTTGAATATTAGAAAGTAGCAAATTAATTAATATTTCCCCAGAATATAATTAACTCTTTAGTGGTAATTTGGAAACAACACCCAGCAAGAGTATTTAGAAGTGTAAATTGAGTACATACATATCACTAAAATATTCTGAGTATAACAGCATTTTTAAAATTTCAGTTCTAGTTGCATCAAACCTTATTTAATATTAATAAAATGTTTCAAGTTAAGTTTTTCTCTTCTTGTGTGCTATAGTACAACAAAACAAATGAGTTTGCTAGTGCTCCATTTGAGTGCTTTGAAGAAACTGATATTATCTAGAACCACCTAATAAAACAGTGACTGCACATACAGTACAAATAACAAGGTAAGTATTATGTTGCCTTAATGCATAAGTAAAGAATCCACTTTCTGACCATTTGCCACACAGACCATTTGCCTAATGAAATCAGCCTTCCTTCTTCTTCAAAGTACTGCTTTGTATTACCATGGTTGAAAATGGCTTTTTCACTGCCTCAAACCACTCTCTCCTTGCCACAAGGCTCAAGCTTAGTGCAGATTCAGTCATATAGCCAGCCTGATGCTGAAATAAAAAATCCCATTTGATTCTCTGAGTGAAAGGCTCCACAAGTGAATTATGTACAGTAGGCAAAATGGTATTAAACTCATATGCTGAATTCAACAGGGATATGCACTGTGCAGTTTGCTTGTATGCACCCATTGAAGACAGAAAAAACAAGGTTCCATGACATAAAGAAGCTAAGAGGAAACATCACAGCACAAATTTTGCCCACAGTCTCACTGATGGTACATGTAGAACTATTGGAAAATTCTGCACAAGGATGGAGAGGCTACATTCTGACCTTTTTGGGCATCTGCAATCTGAAAGTAGTGGTGCCACAGCAATTTAATAGTACGGAAGAATAAATAACTTTTATTCCAGTATTAGTACCTGACAAAAATGATATAGCTCTTCTCAAGTATTTTTAGGGAATTTAATTTCTTTCTTATATTTAAAATGAACAAACCTTGCCAGTCAGCTTTGAAAGATCATCTCCTCCGATTATCTGCATATCTTGCATAGACTGATCATTCTGAAAGAAGAAGATAAAACTTTGAAATTTGTTGTAACTATATAAAATAAAAATATAAACGTTTCATTTTTAAAAATCTTGACTATTAGTCTTAGTTATGAATATTTTCTAATGCTTTGTAGTATTGGTGAAAACCATGCTCTCACTTCTTCCTGTGGCTTCCTGCATCTCCTGCTTGTTTTTAAGCCAACATCAAACATCAAACTCTAGGCTTTATTGGACTAGAAAAAGTTGCATCTTTCTTTTTAAAATAGTGTTCCCCTGCTTGCTATTTCTTAGTATGACAAGTGTTGAGTAACATATTTATCCCTTTCAAAATGGGAGGACAGGAGCATCTAAACACTTGACCAAACACCTATAAGTACATTCTTGGTTTGGAACAGTTTTTGGAAACACAGGCTACACATGCTTATATGTCAGCTCCTTTTGCAGGAATTCACTTCATTTTTTTTCAGGAGAAAAAGGTTTTGCAAAATTTATCACTTACTATCAAAAATATTGTCAGGGTGCCATACAGTTTCCAGAGCTTTGTTTATTCAGCTGACTCAAAGATAAAATCCTTGAGGTCAATTACTTAAATATGGCCAATCAGGTTGAACTAAATGCAACAGAATAGTATATTTTGATTTTCCTGTTAAAAAAGTTATTTTTTAAAGAATTTTTTTTGCTGTATTTGTTTTGCAGACATTTCTAGTTGAAATTCTTCCTGATGGAAAGTTCTCAACCAGCTCTAGCTCCAATTCATTATCTGCAGAACATAAAGGTTACATAAGGGAGATATGTGGAAGCCTTACTTTTAAGGCAAGACAAAAAAGGCCTTAAAGAAGGTGGCAAATTAAAAAATACACAGTCATGGCCAGGCTATATGAACTTTTCAGAAAAAGAGAAGAAGTATAGCTAATGTGAGTTTTTTGCCAAATTGATGCATGTGCTGATCTAATCTTCCTACCCATAGGAAGACAGCATTAGTCCAATTTTAATACAGCTCCTGTACCACAATGTGACACTGTGGTTTACTGGTAACACCAGGAAGCTCCAGCATTATAAACAACTGACAAAGACACAATAGTTGAATTCTCCACTTTTATTTCATAAATCCAGTGCTCTGAAGCCAAATGTTTTTCCACAGGTAAATAGTGACACATTACCTATGGGAATAGGACTTACACTGTGGGTAAAGATCTACTGGACTAAGGGATTTATAGCTGTTCCTCTTCCCCTCCCAAAACAGGAGAAGTAGAAGCAGCACTGGCAGGGTCAGAGCTGCCCCATGTGCAGATGGAACCACACCTGCTCACGCTCACAGCCCAGGTGGCAGAAATTCAGGGACTTCCAAACACCTTTGCAGATCCCTGATCACAGGCAATCTGGCAACCCCAGGAACTATTCGTGGTCCTCATGGGAATAGATTGTCTAAATTAATACAGCCTTCCTGAGTAACTGTAAGCAAAGGTTGTAGAATTGCCCAGATGAGAATTTCTCCAAGTTTGCATTCTGCAGACCCACCAAAAGGCTCCCTGGCTTTCACTCAGACTCTACTCTCCACAAAACTCTCACACCACAGCTTTGTAAGAGGTCCTTAGCAGTCATTATTTTAAAAGACAGTTTTTAGACCTGCCTTCACTTTTTCTGCACCGGATCTGGGAGCTTTAGATAAATTTCATGCTGCTCTGATCCGTTTCCTGGGAAACAGAGCTCGAGCAGCAATGAAGGTTACATCCCATACATTTTCTAATATAAGTTTCAATATTTCTTTTATTTTTGTAAAGAAAAACAGGGGAGAAAAAGCTTAAACAGTGAAAAAGAAAGTAACTGATTTCCTCAGAGATTAGTTTAAAACTAAGTAAAACGTGGAGATTTAGAAGATTTTAAGTTCAGGCTTAAAAGCATAAGTCTTTTGTTGCAAAGCAAGACAGGTCACTCTTCAAAAGTCAGGCATGTATTCAAGTCAAGACTATTATAAGACTATAAAAAGCAGATTGTTTCTAATATCTACCACAGCATGTGTAACCAAGGCACTGACAAAATATTTTTTCATTTCCAAATGAGAAAGTGTAGAATTTCATTAGCAACCAGCACACAAGAATTACTGAAGAGGCAGTTTGCCCTTAAGCTGCTAGTTGAGAAAGAGAAAAAAGATAACAGTGAGGTGCAATGATTAATGAATTTATTTATTTTTCACTAAAAAAAACCCTCTCTTTCAACAGTATTCACAGCAGCACTGTTTCCTTTGCATTTGGTATTTCTGGCTTCAGCTGAAAGGAAGATGCTGAAATAGCATCTTCATTGCTGGCAAGCAGCTAAGCAAACACAAAAGCCATTGAGAGCAGGGGGATCACAGCATCCTGTCAATCTCTGCATTCACACATTGGCTGTTGGGACACAACTGCACACATTTATGAAAATCCTGGTGCTCTGACTGGAGAATAACGGCTGTCAAAGGACAAGGCTGAGTATTCACAGTGCCTAAAAAACATATCATTTTCTGTATGGTTTTACTACATGCAGCTCGGAACCCCCAACCAAGGTATTTTCACAAATTTAAAGAAATTCCTGGCATCACACTAGAGAGCAATTTTCTTGCTAAAAAAAAAAAAATGAATCAGACCATTGATTTTAATGCCATTTATAACTATCTACATTTATCACTTAACACATGTTGTAAAAAACGTACCTGCCAAACAGCAAGGCTCAATACCACAATGTGACATCACCCTGATCATAATGTTCACATAGATAATTTCCACACTATGTTGCCATGGGAACCTCTCAATGCATTTTTCTGAGTTCTCAGTTTATAATCTCAAAATAACACTACACTAAATGTTAAATACAAAGTAAATGAATGTCAGGAAAGAAAAAAAATCTCATTCAGTACCAATTAATGTCAATTCAGAACTGGTTTTTTAATTTTCATGGTCTCAAGTCATTCAGAGCTTCTGTCTTCCTTTGCAAGTTGTTCCAACTGATATAACTGAGTCTCTGAGATTTCTTATAAATGCAGAAATATGAATTGAAGCTTCATTTTCTGTCACCCAAAGTTCCTCAGTCCTTATTTGCTAAAATCCCTAAACCTTATGAACTCTTTTTTTTTTTATATTTGACACTAAATATATTGGCTTGGATAGCGACAGCTCTAAACCACACTCTATTTTGGTTAATGCAGCATAAAATTTATTGCAGCTGTTTCTGACAAGATGTGATGCACTGTGTCACATCCCCACACCTCATCCCAAGCTATATTTCTAATTTTTTTTTCTGTGCTTAATAAATCTGCATTTTCCGGGATAAATCTCAATTTCTTTGGTTTTAATTACTGGGTTGGGATTTTTCACTTGTTCATCTTTGTTTTATAATTTTATTTAATTCTAGGAATACTTGATGAATTAAAGCAAGAATGTTATTTTCACCACCATTTCCACTACCATTTTTCATGGCATACAAGATAAAATTTTAGCTTCCTATGTAGATTGGCAGTATACATATTTAAATTCCATCTATACTAAGTCATGTTTTGAACTGGGTGGGGCACAGAATTATTACATCTCTTTTACATCTCCTGAGATCAACACTTGGACATAGTTCAAGTTACAAGTGAAATGAGTTGGGTGGTCTCAGGAAAATTCATTATAAACAGCATTGCTCATCTGAAAATTGCACCAAACTGTGAACATCTGTTACTCTTCTGAAGAAACAGAATCTGGAATACATTAATACTGGGCTCAGTGAAACAAAGATTCTTTAATCATGGCAGAAAAAGTAGCTTTAACAGAACAATTTAAATACATAACTGAATTATGAAATATGGACACAATGTCATTATCACATATCTAATTACTACAGTCTGCAGAATTAATATGGAATTCCTTTAAAAATGTTACCTTTTTCTCCCAAAATTCATCAGGGAAACTCAAAACAAAGAAGAATGTGACCATCAGGTCTGTTCTATGTTGCTTTTGTCCCCTTGGGTGACACAGCAGATCCTCCAACCTGAGAATTCCTGTTAGGGCAGCTCTTTCACTTCACACCGTCATTCCACCTCCTACAACTGGGTTTTCCAGGAAGGTTTTGACCAGAAAGAAGTCAATGACAGACCATTCAGTTGTCCCTTGGATCCTACTATGTAACTAAATTGCTTTGCAACCTGCCTCCTGAGAGATACTTCGAAATATTAATAAGTTGGTTGGGGAAGTGTCAGTATGGCATCTACAGGATCTGTTAACCTATTTTGGCTAATAGGTAAAGTCAAACTGATATGTGAAGTATAAGCTGTGAAATATCCCCAGTGAATCAGCAGAAGTTGAGTGGTAGTATATAAAATGCTGTACTTAGAAACAATGTACACTTGAATCAACACAATTTTGAGTTTCTTCTCTCAAGAACAATGGCTAAGAACAAAATACCAGAAAATGAGCTGTCAGTTTTCATGGCAGGCAGCTAGAAGGACTATCCAGGCTTAAGTAGGAAGATTCAGAGGGCAACTAGTAAGTACTGTTAAGCTGAGACTTGTACAAACGAGTGAGAATGATACGGATCACTTCCCAGTAAAGACTGGAAAGTTCCCTTACCCAGAACCAAATGTATACCTAAGGCCAGACTGCAACCTCTGGGGTACACCCACATTCAAAATAGTCAAGTGCCAGGTCACTGATATATTTTAAGAGGTGCCTTGAATACCTTGCAAACAGTCCAACAACACTGAGCCAAGTGGAATGGAATCCAGTAAACTGGCACACACCTACTGCCAGAACATCCCCTTTCCACAGGGAAGTACAGGTACATGTGCACTGAAGCACTGACAGCTTTGTGTAGCTCTGAAAGCTTTAAAGTGGCCTTTCTGAGCTGACCACACCACTGACTGTGCTGCACTGAGACTGGCCTTATTGCTACTCCAAGATAAGAAATGATAGCAAATTTTAAACTGCTGTGGGTGTATATCTACAGAGTTCTAGTTACCACAGTGTAAGGCATATTTTACATCTCTAGGGGTAGATCTACAA